GACAGGCCGAGCTGGGGTCCACGGCCAGGCGGGCCTCCAGGCGCGACCGCCTGGCCCCCTGGGCGTGGGCGCCCCGGCTGCCCCCCCCCCCCCCCCCGAGGCGCCGTTGCTCCATTGTTGCCCTGTGAGTGATTGGGTTGGCTTGGAAGTGAGAGGGGCCCGACTGGTCTGACCGCGCGCTAGAGGAGGAGGCCCGCCCGCGACGGCGGCGGGGCGCTTCCTCGAGAGCCAGGGATTGGAGAGCTTCTGCGCGTCATCTCTGTCAGGCTCGGGCCGCCTGGCCCACCGGCTGATCTGGGGGCGCCGAGTTGGGGGTGCCCCAGTGGCCTGGCCAGGTTCGATTCGCGATGTGACGAATCAGGTTCTCGGAGGGCACTCCGGGGACTTCTTGAGCGGCCGGGCGATGGTGCGGGCTTGGGTCATTTGGGCTCATCAGCAGCGGGGGCGACCCTTGAAGTGCGGGTGCAGATCTTGGGCAAGCACGCCGGGTTCGCTCGCGCCCGTCGCGGTGGGCCAGGTGCTCGACGCGACCCGGGCCCCCCCAGAACGTGGCGGGCATGGGCTGGGGCAACTTCCCAGAGGCCTGCTGCTCCTCGGGAGCCCGTCAACCTGCTGGACGTTTGGTGGGCGCGGTTCACGAAGCGGGGCCCCTGACTCGCCATGGTGGTTGTCTCGCCGAAGCCCCAGCCGCAGATCTGTCGCCCCCCAACTGGGCCCTTCTGCGCGCAGGAGCAGGCCTGGCGCCGCATGCGCCAGAAGGAGGTCGCGCGGTGGGGGGCGATGTCGACCACCATTTCTTCTGGGGCACTAGTTTTGACGCAGCGGCAGGCCAGGCGGCGCGCGTTCGAAATCTGCTGGTGGCGCGCGTGCGCGGGCGGGGCGCGAGCAGCGCCTTGGTGTTATCTGGTCTGTCGGATTTCTACGAAAACGTGGGCGCGCGATGCCCTTTGCGAGCGTGTCGGACATTTCGGGTTTGATGCCGGCCTCCTCAGATCTTTAGTCCCCTTCCATCGAGGTCCCCGCCGCGTCGGATGGGTGGCCGCCGCGTCTCGGGCGCGCGCGAGAATGTGGGAGTCGCCGGCAAAATGGAAGACGCCCAGGCCACGCATGCATGTGTTGTTAAAGCTCTACGAACAGCAGACAACGTCAGCCCGCGCGAGCCACCCCGACAGACCCTTGGTTCCTTGCCCGGCCATCGCGCATCAGAGAGTATATAGAGACGCGCCAGAGCGACGTGGGCCGACTTGGTCAGAGACGGGCAGGGCGGGCGTGGCAGTTCACCGGGACAAAACAGCGATCGTGCACAATGGCCGCCTGATCGCTGCGTGACAAACGCGCCCCAGACCGTGTGCGCGCTCGGGATGAGGGTCGAAGTTCAACCGCCCTACCGCGGCGCGGAGTATCTAGGTCGGCAGTTGCAAAACAGCATGCCCCACGCACGTAGCTGGAAAACCGCGTCGCGATGGCGCGGCGGAAGTTCCGCGCGCGCGGAGACGAGCTCACGGGGAGGAAAACATTTACGATCTGTCTTGCTGCGGTTTTTTAACGGAACCATCCCGCCGACGGTTCTGCGCGGTTGCGCAGCTTGGAACCTCGCGGCGAACGCGAAGGCGGACGCTTCGGCGGATGTTTCGCGCGATCGCGCAAGTACCGAGACGCACCGCAGCAGTTGAAAACTCTGAGCCGGCGCCGCATCCGATCCAGGCCAATACCTACAACCGGCAAGACAGCCACCGCCAGCACGACGACGACAACGCGGACGAGGAGACAACGCGACGTCAGGCCACTCGCCTGCCACACCACCGACGCTCGACGACGAAACAGCGCCCGAATCACTAAGGCCATCCATGGGTACAATGGATTAAACGTGTTATATGCGACGCCGAGGCTACAATTCAGCGGGCCCGAATCAAAAACTGGGTTTCCACTGAGAAGCAACGGGGATAGAGAGTGGTTCAATCATCGAACCCAACCGGCGAGCAATAACGGATCCGACGGGCGATCCTGTGGACGCCGCCACGCGACCTGGCATATCATGTAAAACGGAGGCCGGGGCGCCCGAAGACTACATGGGTTGACGACGTCCGAGGCCACCCAAAGAAACGTATGCATTATGGATTAACGAGTATCGATGATGTATTTGTGTAGCCAGGGCAAAGTTTTGGAACAACATCGGGTACGATTTCATAGCGAGCCTCATTTCCTATCGCTGCGCCGCGCCGCCGCCGAGACCGCAGCGCCAAGGGTGGTGCCCATGTGCGGGCGTGCTTCGTGCTTCGTGCCACGTCTGGACGGTCTCTCCTAACGGGGCGGTGGTGGCGGGATGCTCTTGCGAGACGGGGGCCGCCCAATTTTTCGTTTTATTTGTTCTGAAGGAGGTGGCTACTCAGTCTCCCGTGTGCCGCTCGGTGAATGTGGTCGATGATATCCAGGTGCATGCGATCGGTGGCATCAGAACCGTGGCGACTCAGCTTGTGCGGGCGGTCTCGTTGATAATGGAAACGATGCAGCAGTTCGAGCCCCCGACCAATGTTAGTAAGACTTGTTGGATGGGTTGGGGTAGCGAGCTTTCGGAGGTTTGTTTGGGTGACCTTACGTTGATTTCGGGGGTGGAGCTGTTATCCCACGCCCATCGGGACTTGGGAGGAGATGCTGGTGACGGTAGTCATCTCCGCTGCTCATTCACAGTTTTGGGATATTTGGCGCCCTCGCTTCTGCTATCAGACTCCCAGGTACCCGCCGCGGACGCGGAAACTTTTCAATTTTTCAGAGCATGTCCAGCTGCGAAGGCTGTGTGGGGAGCGGCCATACAGGGCCTGTCCTCGACGTCGTTGCGTGCTCTAAGAGTGGCGGCGGTCCGCGTCTCTGGGCCCGTCCAGCCAGGCCCGTCGTTAGGTTTGACTTTGCTGTTCAGCTCGCAGTGGAGCTGGTGCGCGCTACCGTTCGTCGGTCAAATGCCTCGCGCCAGTCTGGTGGCTCGAGACGGTTTCTAAAAGAGTGTTGGAAAGTGCTCGCGAGGATACTGTCGCCGTCCTTGCCGTGCAACACACACGTGGGTTGCGGTGAAGCAGCCCGTTGCGGCCCTCCGTTTTCTGAGGCGGCGCGTCGGATGGGATCTTGGCGTGAACCGTGGGGCCATGTCAGACCGTGAAGGCATATGGTTGTCCCTCGATCGGTTCTCGCCCGAGTTTTAAGCTTCGTATTGTAAGCGGGTGGGAGATCTTGGGTGCCGTGTGGCCGATGAGCTCAGTCGCCAGTCGTCCGCCGTGGAATGGGGTGGCCCCATCTGCTCTCGCCCCGTCCGACGTCTTCTCGGTAAGTGAGACTCGGAGGGCTGGTCCAGCCACTGCAAGAGCGTGCAGCGAGGACTCCTTGCCAGCCGCTACTGGTGCCAAGATCGTGTTGCTGCGAAGTGCGAAGATATCCGCCCTGGCTGCCTTCGCTGCGGTTCGCGGCAACATGTTCCCTCGTAGGTTCGACTGTCCGCGCCTTGCGACCCGGCGGCGAGGTGAGATCCCGACGGTGGTCTCGACGGCGGCCGCGGTTGCAGGCGCGCTCGGGATGCGTGCCCAGAAGGCTTCTGCTCGAGGGCTCTGCCCCGATCCGTCTTCGTGGTTTCTGCGCAGGGTTCCCGACTACTCCTTCTCCTGCTACCTCCACAGGCTCGACTGGCCTCATGGCGGGGTCTTCCCGGGCCCTGAGGTTCGCGTTTTATCGGCGGATCGATTTTGAGGGCTCGATCCCTGCGTTAGGAGTGGCCGAGTGGTCGGTGGTAGTCGTTGACGCGGACGGGAATGTGCAATCTGTCTTCCGAGGTGGTGGCGCCGCTTGACGTGGCGCCCCTCCGAGCGGCTCGGGACGGCGAAGATTGCGCTGTCCTCCAGCTCGCGCGCCACGCTGTGCTATCTGAGGGGTGCTCTTTGAATGTCGACTGTACTGGCACGGTGGCTTGTGCCTCCGACGTTCGAGCCGCGTCCAGCCCCCTCACCAAGACGCCCAAGTCCACAACGATCTGGACGGTGCTGCGTTCAGGAAAGTGCCAGCGCACTGCAGCGCTGCCGTTGTCGGGACGGCCTGCTCATTCGGGTCCAATGGCTCGGCAATAGACTGTCGATAAGTGTGCTAAGTGCGGTGCTGAAGTGTATCGTTGTTCAGAGCAGGGTCGTCTTGCAGGTCACGGGCGCCGTGAAGTTGCCAGAGAGGTCTCGGCATGCTGAGTTGGGCGATTAGTCCCCTGCGGAGGAAGATGCCGAAGGCCCGAGCTGCCCTACCCAGGCGGGCGGCAGCCCCCTCGGCGGCCAGCAGCTTGGCTGCCCCTCCTGCCGAGGTGGGGGCCGACGCCTTGGCGGGCCTCACGCCTTGGCACGCCCGCGGCCACTCGTGCCTGGAGGCCCCCATCGAAGGCCCCGAGGGGGCCACGGGTGCGAGTGCGGTCTTCTGCGCCACTTGCAGGGTCTGGCGGTCGTCCTGGGGCGTCCTGGGGTCGGAGCGCTCTCCCGTCAGATCGCCATGGGTCTCGCTCTGGCGGTCGCGAGCGCCAGTTGGCTGGGGCTTCGCGGGGCAAGCACCCGTCCCGACGTGACGGAAGAGTCGGCTCGTCGGCTTTTCCGTCGGCTCTCAATCGGGAGATCTTCGCGGCCAAGCTCGGGCTTCTGGAGGTGCTTCGTCTGGGCTCTGCCCCTTCCCTCTTCCAAGGTCGGCCCGACCTGATTCGAGGCCTTGCCCTTTTTCCCTTCTCTCGCCGAGGCGGAGCGCCTCGGACGGCGAGTCCTGGAAAGTAGGAAGCGAGCGGGGCTCGCTGATGGGCTTGACGAGGAGGAGGAGGAGGAGGAGGAGGAGGAGGAGGAGGAGGAGGATTGAGGTTTTGCTTGCATGTGAATTTGATTACCTTTTCGGTCGATGTCCTCCTCCTCCTCCTCCTCCTCCTTCGTTTCTCCTCCTCCTCCTTCTCCTCCGTCTCTCCTCCTTCTCCTCCTCCTCCGTCTCTCCTCCTCCACCGCCTTCTCCTCCTGCCCGTCCTTCTCCTTCCTGTTCTCTCTCCTGCGTTGGGGGAACCTCGACCGTGATCGTCCACCCTCCTGCGTGGCTCGCACGCGGCGCCGCCCAGTCGCCCGCGCCCGCTTGCGTGCAGGACGGTGCCGAGGTGGCTGTGGTCCTTGGTTCTCCCGTGGCAGCCGGAGTGGTTGGGGCGTCTCCCACATGCCTGTCTCTGCGGGTGCTAACATGCTGCGACTGCACGGACGAGAATTCTTGCGTTGCCGTTTTTTTGAGACCGTTGCTGGCTGTTCCTTACCCCGCGTCGATTTGGGAGGTGGCCGCGGCGATCGCGGCGGCCACAAATCAGGACACAACACAGTTTTTGTCAAGAGGTGGCATGCCCCTTCCCAGCTCCCCCTCCCGCTCTGCGATGTGGCGTGGCTAATCTCGACAGAGAGTTGTTTAAGTATGTCCAACATGGGCCGTCATGTTTGTTCGGGTCAGGGGTGGATAGTCCCGCAACCATTGTCGTAATCCTCGTCCCTTTCCTCCTAGTCCTCAGCACCTCAGCATCATCCACGTCCCTCGTGCGCCCACAGAGGGCCGAGGCCCCCTAAGAGGCCCCCAAGACGTCCCTCCCAAGAGGCCTCCAAGAGGCTCCCAGGACGCCCCGTGGAGGCCACAAGAGGGCCCCAAGAGGCCTCCTCTTCCTCCTACTCCTCCTTCTCCTAATCCTCCTCGTCCGTCACCTCCACCTCCTCCTCGTCTCCTGAGGCCTTCCGATGTATACAGATGTTCCCAGAGTCGTCAGGGACTCAGAAAAGGCAAAGGCGATGAGTAAACTCGACTCGACCTTCCTGCACGGTGCTCAACACGGACAGCTAGTTGCTTGGCGTGACCATGACGCGACTCTGCTCGCATGCATCGAGGCTTGTCCGCACCGTCTGCAGTCTGCAC